GCGCCCGCCAACTCCTCTCTGTAGCGGAGGCGGCACCGCCCATACCCAGTCCCAGCGGTGCCCACGCTGAAGCCCTCACAGCACCACCCTCACCACCCATCACCCGGACCGACTCCTCTCGGGCACGGTGCCATGTCCTCCCGGGAGGGACGAGGGCGCCTTTAAAACAGACGCCGCCTCTGTGCGAAGCCGGATCCTGGTGCTGTGCGTGGCGGGGGCCAGGCTGACACCCGGTGTTCCTGTCTTATTTGAACGAGGACCCGAGACAACCCTGTGGCCTGCAAGATGCCAGGAGGACACTGGGCCCTGGGCCCCTGCAGCCCCTCCCACCGGTGAGAGGGGGCATCTCTGGCCAGGGCCTGAGCGTCTGTGTCTCTGGCAGCTCCCCCAACACACACCCAAGTGTCCCTGACACCTGGGCCCTGGTGTAACCAGCACAACCTCAGTCGGCCCGCGGGCACCACATCCCTGCACAGCCCGACTCACCAACACCCAGCACATGTCTAGCTGGTGTGGCTCAGTGGATAGAGTGTCGGCCTGTGGACTGAAAGGTCCCGGGTTTGATTCCGGTCAAGGGCACATGCCCGGGCTGCAGGCTCGATCCCCAGTGGGGGGCATGCAAGAGGCAGCCAGTCAACAGTTCTCGCTCATCATTGATGTTTCTATCTCTCTCTCCCTCTCCCTTCCTCTCTGAAATCAATAAAAATAAAAATAACAAAAATTAAAAACCCGGCACAGGGTCCAAGTGTGAATACTCGCTGGAGCGGTCCAGCCACGGAGCCAGGGCGGCGGGACCCAGCTGCACCCTGAGCTCCAGGTGACCAGCAGGAAGCCGGCAGTGCCCGTCCCGGACGGCCTGGCACCCACGGCCCCGTGAGCCAGGGAGGACGTCCTCCCTCCGCCCATCCCCACAGGACACTTTGCTAGGAAGTGTGGGGGCGAGGGCTCCGCGGAGCCAGATTCCCCGCCCCCTGTGCCCCCCAACAGCCGCACTGCACTGTCCTCCGTGGACACAGCCTCGGTCCTGTCTCCATTCAGGGGGCTCTGCCCAGCCGCTCCGGACTGCCCACCCCTCCACCACCCACCTGGCCGTGACGAGCTCCAGCAGCCAGTGGGTCCGGACCTGCTCGATGCCGCCATGAGGGACCGCGCCCACGTAGGCCAGGTTGAGCTGCTGGTCCCAGCTGAGGTCGAACTGGTCGGCCCGGCTGTGTGGCAGTGGGGGGCTGGGGACAGAACAAGGGCGTGGGAGCATTAGTCTCCGCGAGGGAGGCCCACAGACCAGCCTGACCGAACATCGGAACAGACAGAGCCACGGCCAGGCTTGCCCGGATGCGGCTCCGGCAGACAGACGGGGAAGTGTCCCCAAGTGAATGACGCTCTCCTTGGTGTGACCCAACGACCCCCAAGGCCAGAAATGGTACGCAGTCTCAGGTTTGGGGGTCGGGGGCTCCCCAGGAGAGAGGGCTACATCCCCCCCACCCTGCTCCTTGCTGTGGCCGCTGCGGAGCTGAGCTCGAAGCCGGACACAGAGGGTGCTGGGGACCCACAGGGATGGGGACAGGCCCCGGGGCAGGGATGTCCTACACCCCTGGGCTGCCCCTGGGAGGCTCTGGGTGGCAGAACAGTGTCCTGAGACAAGGCCCTCCCAGGCCTGGCTGCCTCCCATCACGGACTCTGCCATCTGGCAAACTCAGAGCCCGGCCCAGGCCTCCACCACCGGGCCCTCCCTCGGCTAGAAAACCCCTGAGGCACCCCAAGCCCCATGGAGCGGGGACAGAGGAGACCCCCACTGAGTGAGGGTGGGCCTCAGAGGAAGGAGGGGGCCGCCTTCCTCACTTGGCAGCGCCTACTGTGCGCTATGGCGCAGGAGCCTGTGTCTCTCCACGCGCGACACGGGGGTCCCGGAGAGCCGGGAGCGGGGCATTCTTTTATAATTTTCAGTGTATTAGTCTTACACTTCTGTTAAATTCATTCATAAGCATAATTCCTAAATAAAATTATCCATATTTTCAAATGACATGTTCTTGTATTATAAAATATCCTCAGAAACCTATAAAAACTCTAATGAACAAGTTCTGTCAGATTACAGGGCACAATATATAAAAATCTATTTATTGTATGTCTATCCATTAACAATGAGTAAACAAAAAATAAAATTAAGAACATAATTTTATTTAAATTAGCATCAAAAATAAAATAATTGGGAATAAATTTAACAAAAGAACTGCAAGACTTGTACACCAAAAACCACAAAAATTTTTTAAATAAATTAAAGAATACATAACTAAACGGTAATACATTCCA